GTGGTCAAATTTTTTTTCGTTTGGAATCTCGCCCGGATGCCTGGTTGACTGGGCCAGCTCGTGCCGAAGGTGAGATTCACGCCTCAGACTCAGATGTGATTGAGGAAGGTGTTCGAGATGTTCGTCTTGGTGAGCTTGGATGGCGGGGTCGTTTGGGTATTGATTATGGGCACATCTCAGAAGAAGACCCGGACTGGAGTCAGCGCGGCTCAGCGGATGATGGAGCCCCCTCAGATGTGTAGGAAGGTGAGGAGTCAGACAATGAGGAGATGGACGCACTGGACGAAGCTCAGTCGTCCCCAGACTCAAATCAGTATGATTCTGCAGGTGAAGGCAAAGGATTTCGCATTCGTGGTCGTCGATCGGGGTATATCTCCTCAGAACCACCCTCCGACTGTGAGCCACCTGAAGATTTCTGGTGGCCCTAAGGTTGATGTCTTTCAATGACAGCTTGGAAGCTTTACAGAAGGCAGAGTGCCAAGAATGCTTGTGTCTGCCACTTCGGTGGCCTCGGAATCGTCGAGGACGATGGATGGACTGCTGTGTGCGGTACCAGAAAAACGAGAATCGAGTGAGGGTCTGGCAGTGCTGTATTTGATTGCTTGAGCATGAAGTCATGGTCTGCAACAACTATGCCACATGTGAATTTCAACGAGGGATTGCATCATGTCTGTCTCATCCTTGTGTTGTGATGGATCAATCGACTCACAAGTGTGTCAACTGCTGAATGTGCTGGTTCACAATTACGTTGTTAATTCGAACACCCTTGAGGTTAAGGTGTTACACTTTCTTGCGGATAGGACAGAGTGCCATGCAGAGTGTAATTCGGAGTGCCATGTCTGCAGCAGCAGATGACCCGGCTGAAACAAGAAGAAGACTGTTAGCAGACATTCGGCGGCAGTTTGATGCAAACATCGCACTGGAGAAGAGATTCTTGGCCATTTCGAGAGGACAGGATGTTCTGCGCCTTTGCGAAGTTGACCCGTCGCTTCTTGAGTTCCATAATGAAGGTCCTTATGAAGTTCTGCCTGAGTGCAACTATGATGTGATTCTTGAAGCCAGTGGGTTTTCCTGGATGATATCAATCTGGCAACAAATATTATCAGAAACTTTTCCCATCATGACTTCGTGGCCATGGAAGAAACAGATGAGATT